TAGGCCATCAGCTGCTTTATTTGATAATTTTACAATGCTTCCATTTTATTTATCTTATTTCTCAATCCTGCAGTCTTTGGATATATGTAATATATTTATAAAGTGCATATGTATTTCTATATATAACATATATTGTTGGATTTTATAGAAAAAAAATCCACCTCCTTTTTAATTAGTTTTAGGTAAGTCATTTATGTCTGTGCTCTTTTGTGCAAGTTCTTTTTTTATCACACATGTTGGAGAGAAACTCTGACCCTGACTGAATCCACCAATTTTATCTTTCATCTGAGCTGCTGGATCATGATGGGAAAATCCTACTTTGTTACCTTTCAATGCCAGAATGGACACTTGCATAAACTGAATATTAATTATTGCCTAAATCTTCTCCTTGAACCTCCAACAATCCCTCTCTAAGCTGAGTACTTTGTTTTAGAGAGCTTTTCACCAGGGAGGGAAAAATACCAGTTTTTAACATGTTTCATCTTTGAGCCACACATCCCACAAACTTGTCTTCTCCCTCCTCCATTTTCCTTGTAACAGTGGAAGGCTAGCTCTAGCTTCTGTCCGTGGCTCATATCACTATCTTGGTCAGGATTCCACCCTTCCTGCCTTCGTAGGGATCTTATTTTCCTTTTTTGTTGGCTTCCACTGGCTATTAGTTCCTATCAGCATGTTCTAAACTATCCTGAYAAAGAAAAAAATCTGTTTATCTTTCCATTTACCTTTACTTTCTTCTGCCCTATGTAAGCCTTTCTTAAATAAGTTGCCTCCATACACATTGCTTCTTTTCTCATACTTATTCCATAGTCATCTTAAATCTGCCTCCTCACCAACATTCTAGCTGAATTCTGCCTACTTTCGGGTTGTTTTTCTGCTTTGGTTTATACCACTAGCTGCTGGAATAGCTTTTCTTGCCAATCCAGCTTCATCTCTCGACATTCTTTCCCTTCTACTTTATGTTGTAGACATTAGATTTTTTTTTCTCGTTTCTAAAATGCATTCTGCTTTCTTTTAACCCCCAAGATTTCATGCTTGTTGTTTCTCTAGTCTAGAACTTTCTCCGTTATCCACTTTATAGTCAAATTATCCTTTGTGTAATGTAAATGTCAATTTAGAGGTCCTTTTCTTTAGTTGCTCTCTAAAGTAGGTTAGATTTCCTTATGATATCCTTTTATCATAGTAACCAACATTAAWTTTTTTTCATATTTGAATGTTTTTCTTTTCTATAAATTGACTGTTATATCACCACAGTTAAAAGAATGAAAATCACACATTTTCCAAAAAACAGTTTAATTTTTTTGCTCACTTTTTTTCAAAACACATCTTAATTCCTTCATTTGCAACATTTCTTGAAATTATTAAGCTGATGAAATTTTAAGTTGAATTAAAATGACCCTGAAGTCTACCATGTTTAGAATAATACCTTGCACAAAAACTAAATAGCCTTTGACATTTTTGTTCATGACACTGTAGGGTACTGGAGGACAGAGACTTTTTCTTTTTTCTTTTTTCTTTTTTTTAGCAGTCTTTAGATTTTTGAACAAAATAAACTTAAATGAGCCACAAAATGGATTCATTTTTGGAAATTATTTAAAATAGGTGCTTCTTACATTAATCTCAGACATTAGATAGCTATTTGATTAAGCAAACTTCTCATTATTTTGACTTCTGTTTCTTCATATATAAATTCTGTTCTAATTCTATAATGTAAGTAAATCAAGCAATAAAAGGTATAAACAAACAAAATATTATTATTTTATGTTCTACTTTTTCAAAAATATGTCCTTTTGAACTGTGAATTTTTGACAAGTGCAYACTTTAAAAGATAGTGTATTCTTAATTCATTTTTGAGTTCTATGAATTAAGTCAGTTTTATTCACTTATGCAATTAGAAAGTTTTCCCTTTTTACTTTTTGTGATTCAGTAGAATCACATTAGTATTCCAAGTTATTTTAATTTTTCCTTTTCACTGTAGGTCAAAAAATGTGAAATATCTGATTGAACAATAAAATAAAATATCATCAAATTTATCTTATTTTCCATTTTTGTAAAGGTTTAATCATGAATTAAAAATCTTTGTGATAGTAGAACATAGATAATAATTTCAATATTTTTCCTTAAATGTTTACTGACTTGATAAAAATTTTGTATTTTTCTTATTGTACTGTAATTTATCTTATTAAAACAAATTAGTTATATTTATGTCAAAATTAAGATAAGTTCTTCCTTTCATACTTWTTTAGTTTCTAGATTGTTGGCAGCAAAGTATTTTTAAAATAAAGATAGAGTCTTCTTTGAATTACTAGTAGAAGTTGGAAAGAAGAGAAACTGTTATTATCAGTCATCACTGCATTGATGACTTCTGCCATCAGTTCCCATCCTTTCACCCATAAAATCAGCATAAAATTGGCCTAACATTGCCAGATCAGATTGATTATTTAGAAAGTAATCCTCAGGGAACAGAAAATTCAGTCTTTGTGCAAAGTTGTAGAATTGAATTATTATTTTTTTTAGTCCCTTTTGTTTCTTCCTCTGCAGTACTTATGAAAAGTTGCTACAAAGATATGTCAGATGTGGTCTAAATATAACCATATAAATATTAACTAAGTTAATGCACTTTAAAATATGGATGCATATGATTCTAATAAAGTTTTGAGTGCTGAAGAGTAAAATTTATTTAATGAAAACAATAGGATATATTCCACTAGATAATTAAACAAGTAGGTGCTGTTTTTATGTACTCACTTATTCTTTCTCTGTGAATACAGAAAAAAAGAAAAAAGATTGAGTAAGGGATTAGTGTAGAGTAAGGCAATAAACCATACTTAACTAAATGCTGCTAACAATGAGGGCAAACTTTGAGGACTACACCAGTTAAATGTCCTGATTTAAAGACAGAGGCATTGTTTTTTTWAAAAAAGTATTTATTTTTTAGGTGTAGATGGGCAACACACAATGTCTTTATTTTTGTGTGGTGCTTGGGATCTGACCAGTCCCGCTTGTGCACCTGTGCAAGGCGAGTGCTGTACCACTGAGCCACAATCCTAGCCCCGAGAGGCATTGTTTTTTGTTGTTGTTTTGCCTTTTTTTTTTTTTTTTTAGGAAGGAATTAACCCAAGGGCCCTTTACCACTGAATCACATCCCTATTCCTTTTTATTTTTTTTTTAATTTTGAGACAGAGCCTTACTAGGTTGCTTACACCCTCCCTAAATTGCTGAGGCTAGCTTTGAACCTGCTATCCTCCTGCCTCAACCTCCCTTCTTCATGCTGGAAGGAATTATGGTCATGAGCCACTGTGCCTGGCTTAAAGACATAGGTGTAAAACACTTGCACAGACATTTTCTCAAATGTCTCTCAAAAGTTGTTTAAAAGCGATATTTTAAGCACATTGAAACCCCTTAATTTCATTATTTATGAAAAAGAACTAGCCTACATTTTGTGTGACGATTTATTTATATGGCCATTAATTTTTATGTTAATTTATCAACAGTAATAATTTTTGTTTGATATTTCATGAAGATTCTGTCATACATCTTTGTTTTAGGAGATTTAAATCTGATCAGTTATTTTATTTGCCACTTAACATATCATCTTGTATGCCTGTGAAACATATAATAAATGTGTGTGTATGTGTATTCCAATTGGTAATAGTTATCCTCAGGACATTAATGCCTCAGGATTTTTAAGTGATCTATAGTTCATTTAACTTCATTTCAAATATGTATACATTGTTTTACGGAGGGCATAATCATTTGTTGTTACTTCATAAATTTGTAATGTATATGTTTTAAATGACTTACCTGTGTTAATTTATATGGAAAGTTTTTATTGCTTTATAAGTAAAAGTTTTAGTTATGGAAAGCTTGCTTTCTTTGCATTTTAAGTTAAAATACTTGAAAAAAATTCTGTTGAARTTACAAGTAATATTTTAGCTATTCACTTTTTAATTTGCATGTCTTAGATTTTAAGATTCTGAATATTTTCAATTGTCTGCCAGTTGAAAATACGAGAGGAGCCTGCTCATGCTAAAAATACTTCTAGCCATTCTTGAGTTTTGGAATTAGCACTTAGGAAAGTATGCATCCTTGAATTTTATTTTAAAAAAGCACTATGGAATATTGGAAATAATGGATTAGAGCTGTAGTTTTCCAGTGACTTGGTACATAAAGTGAATACCTTTGACTTACCAAATCCTTTTGCTTAGGTTGGAGTTCAAGCACTGTCAAATTGGCAAAGTTTTATTGTGGACTTTCAAAAGTTTTTWAAAATTTTTTTCCCCAGAAATAATATTAACTCATTTTACCTTTTAAAACATTTAAAAATTTTATTTTTGACAGTTAAAAAATAAGTGTATGACCAAAATATTTACCTAGTGATAATTAAGAGTTTTATTATACCAAGTGGAAGAGAAATAGTGTAAGGAACAATGAAAATGTAAAACTGGTGTGAATATAAGTAAAAGAATACATATATATATCAATATATATATATATATATATCAATATATATATGTATATCAATCATAGATATATTAGAAAAAATTTTCTGAAATATCCTGCAAATATTAATTGTATTTTAAATAAGCAGTCTTCTACCTACCTATTAACTTATCTATTATTTTAAAACTGATTTATAGAGTTTATTTTGTTTTAGTCTCTGTCAGTTGTAATATTTGATTACATATTTACCACATTTATATTTTAATTTCATGTTAAAAATCAATAATTTAAAAGCATAGTTAACATTGAAAATACTCAGAATCTTAAAATATATGATATATAAATAAAATGTCAATTGCTAAAAAATGATTTTTATAACCTTACCAAGTTATTAATTTCATTTGATCCTATTTCAAAAGTCACTAAAACCTTAAAAGATTAAAATATTTAATTTGATAAATAGTACACAGTGACCCTGACCAAAAAATTATGATTGTAGTTTGTGTAATTAAATGTTTTTCTTTGGCTCTTTTTAATGATGATGTATCAATTACTTGCAGATCCTGTGATATTGTGGAAATTCCCAGAGGACTTTGGAGACCAGGTTGGGACAACATAATTTAAAAACATTAGAAATGGAATATTATGATTATTATTACTCCTGTTACACTTAAATTGCTATAWTTTTTTTTCTTGATCAATGTGAGGGAAGAAGGAGCAAGTGTGGACAATAGGTAGAAGAATCTTTTTTAGTGTTACCAAGTAGATCAATGAAGACTCTCTTATGTTGAAAATAATAGGGCCTAGATATTTACAGTTTCAACATATTTTCATACTTATACTTAATTCTATGTAGACATTATTTCTGTTACTTAGAATTAAGGATAACTGCTATAAGTAAGTGATCAGTTCTTTCCTTATCACAGTGATATCTCAAATATTTACAATTAGAGTTTGAATTATCARTATCTTCTTACTTATAGATAATTTTTACCTGTAGCTTTATTTTCTTAAACATAGCATGAGTGTCTGCAGGATTAATTTATTCCATTTGTGTTTTAAGTTGTAGTCTTCTATAGTTTCATAAGTATTTAGTATTATCAACATAATGAAATATTTTTATATCATATATGTAAATAGAAAAATATTTTAAAATTTGTATGTTAGATTTATCATTTTGAAGTTGAACTATATAATATATGATTTGTTAATTACAAATTTAAGTTTTGATAGAGATAAGTACTTTTTGTTGGATATATAATGAGTAGGTTCCTTTCGTTTTGAAAGAAATGGGTTAAAACAATCTTATCACTGTTGGAATTATAATACTACAAATTTATAATTTCAGTTCACTGATAGGATTCTGACAACTTACCAWACTTAAATCTGATAACAGTATACCTTTAAAACAATTYATTCAGAAATAGGTGCATGATTTTGAATGTATGTGGAAATATAATGTTTTAGATGAAAGAAATCTGAAAGAAAAGTCAATTAAATGAGCATGTTAAGCATTAATTAGATCTAGTGCAGACCTTGACAGTGGTTTCAAATAGAAAGTAGGTATGTACTTTTAATATGGTTTTAGCCTTTTAGAGAAAGGATAGATTTATAAATATCTTAAATATATAAAATAAGTCCCTGTGGTGAAAACATTATTTGGAATTAAGAAGCTTAATTGGATATGTTCCCAAGTTGTATATGAAGAATAGAGTCTTGCTGACTCATYTTACCCTTCTGAAATGTTCTTTTCCTAGTCTTCTCAATTCTTTCTTGCCAACTGACCCAGGAACAAACCTTATGTCCCTTTTCAGGTCTTTTTTGTTATTTTTATTTTCACTGCTTAGACTACCCCTAAGAATTTTCAGGCGATCCAAAGAGTCCTAACTGGATTTGCATATGAGTGATAATGTACTTGTTGGGTCTACTCCTAGAAGAATTTTTTTGTGAGTTCAGCTATAGCTTTTCTTCTTTGTGACTCTTAAAGTGATGCTTGGAATTTTTCACTTGGAGCTGAATTGTTGCTCTGTTTCTTAAATTTGTGAGGTCATCAGAATATCAATAAGTCCTCACATTCTTAGTGAAATACTAGACTAATTAACCATGTAATAGTGATGAACATCCCTAACCCCAATGATTTCAGTTCACAGCAATTCCAAGACTTTTTGAAAGTTAGAGCTGAAAGGAAGTTTAGTTACCATTTTGTTTACCTACCTCACTTTACATGCTGAAGAAGCCATGCTTTATAAGGGGCCTAGCAGAGGGCCTTGAGGAATGGTTATACTGTGTGCTTTTTGGTGAATGTACTAATACTACAGAAGATGCAGGTGCTGTTTGTATTGCTTACTCTTTGATCTTCTTTATTCTACTTGCTATCCACTTTTGTTCAGAAGACATACTACAAAATGTAATTTTACTGTAGAAATAAAGTGTACTAAAGTAATGGCTGGGTAGTTGGGTAAAAATGTACATTCATGTGATGTAAATGTTAGTTTATGTGTTCAGTAATCTGATAAATTTGGGAAAAACAAACTCAAAYAGAATAAAATATGTGCTTGTACTATACTTAACATTTACTAAATTAGAGGATATGGCTATTTTCATTAAGCCAAAATTATAAATCTTAACACGTTTCCTAAAGATTTGTCTTAATGACGCGAATTTGATTTCTCTAAGAAGAATTATTTATCTATTTATTTATTTATTTATTATTTTGAAGTGTTAGGGATTGAACCCAGGGCTTTGCAAATGCTAGGCAGTGCTCTACCACTGAACTACAAATCATTCTTTTAAAAATTTTATTTTGACACAGGGTCTTGCTAAATTCCCAGCCTGGCTTTGATGTTGGGATCTTACTCTTTGAGCCTACCAAATAGCTGAAATTATAGATGTGTTCCACTGTGACTGAATAAGAACTACTTTAAAAATCTACCTCATTTAAGATATTAGAAGCTCAGTTTTCTCTAATTTTATAAGACCTTTAGAAATATTCAGTTTACATTTTTTTTTTTTTTGTAAGACAGTCAGAACAGTGCTTCTTTAATTTATGAGTAAAGAAAAAGGCATTCTAGAAGGCTGTTAGGGAAAGGAAGATTTGGAGAAAAGGAAGATTTGGCCTGGGCATCTGAAGTGAACTATTTTGGGCTCTGCTTCTACCATGAGTGCATTGTTGAGAATGCTGGTAGTAAGACAGGGAGCATGGGAGGTGATTCATAAGCTTTATTTGACCACTGAGTTKTTTTTTTTTTTCTGTAAGTTGTTTTTCTTCAGATGAAAGTAAAGGACAACCCCATGCATAGTTAGGGTAACTGAAAGTGATAATCTGTTGTATTAGAAAGAATGATAAAATTATTTCATTATTCAAAGCTGAGGCAGAGTGATAGAGATATTAGAATGTTATTCCTTACATTTAATTGAAGGGTTACATTAATCTTTCAGTCCTAACCTTGTCAGTTATATTATTTTTACCATTAGGAAATGTCCTCTGCTATGAATAACATAATAGTTATTTCATGGGATTCACAATAGGAATCAAGGTCTGTAAGAAGCAGTGAAGTAGGCCTGGCTAAATTTCCTTCACACCTAGTATACCTGTTTCTCAGGTTTTTTTTTTTTTTGTGTGTGTGTGTGTTTGTGTGATATTTCTATTTTTACTTCCCTTTTCCATTCTGTTCTTTCTTAAGTTTTGTCCAGTTCTTTTTATTCTGAAGATTAAGTTTGAAAATTAGTTCTTTGAAGACTTACATGAACATTTATAACCAATAGTCTACACTTCCGTAGCCTCTATTATATTCCTCTATATTCTACAGTTTTATTTTTCTTTATTCCTTCCTTACTACTTGGGCCGTATGTTTCTTGAAGGAAGGGGGGAACATTTTCATTATCAATTTCCACAGTTAGCAGAGTAGATGGCACATGATGGTATCTGAATAAACATTATTTGAGTGTCTCCTTGAGTGAGTGACAGGTCAAAGGAAGTTGAATAAATTCATGATATCTTATCATAATTATCTTAGAAAAACAGGAGGCAGGTAATCTACTGAAAGGGATGTGAGCACAGTTTCATTAAAATTTGAGTGAAAAGATGTGATGTGGCACAGGGTTTAGGCAGTTAGAAATTTAGTGAGTGGGTCCATGATGGTTACTCATGATGGGTACTTGATTCATGTGTTCCTCCTCCCTCCTCTCATCTCTATGGAAGGCTTAAAAACAATTTAAATTTCAGCCTGGTGTATGCTCCCATGATAGGTGATCGAAGTGCATTTAGAAATATTTTTAGAAAAATGCATGTATCACGTGATTATTTTTATAATAATAAAAATAATAATAATAATAATTCTGTTCATTAAGTAACTTTGGGCAGAAATGATCTGGAAACAGTTTGTATTACAATTATAACGAATACCAAAAATAGCTACGTATTGTACAATAGTAGCAGAGCATTGAAAAATTTATCCTTCAGGTATATCTTTATAGTTCTTTTTATCTGTAGGCAGCCTACTAATCAGCTGATACTAAAATGAATGTATTCTACATTGTATACAATTTTCTTTTTATGTGCCACAATGCCTAATGATTTTTCTGCATGGTATAGGAAAAATGCCTGTTTCTAAATAAAAATTTATATCTATATTAAAAWATATTTTTTAAGAGATTTTGTCAAAACAAATTTAAAGTTGAGGAACATTGATATCTGGGAATTTTATGTTTGTTTCTTATATTAGTCACAAAGTAGATTATAAAGTAGAAACAATCTATTAAATCCCAATAATCTCAAAATAAATAATTTCAACAGTTGCGAATTTTTTAAGTCAAAACTTTTTACTCATTTGCTCTTAATTTTGTCAATTTCAACTACCATTTGATTATACCAAACAAAAGATAATTTAATCGATTCTAAACCAACTATTGTTTTTCTAAATGGAAAAAATGGAATGACTTAAACTGGTTTTTAATGTGAGAGAATAAATTTTTATTTCATTACTTACTGAATATGTATACATATTATATACGAACACACTTCTGAGACAAATGATTTCTTCATTTTTATCAAAATAAAATTTCATAAAGGAGATAATGGGTAATTGTAAGGGAATTATATCATAACTTGTTGCTTTCTTTCATAATCCAAAAATTTTGTAAGTGATCTGTTTTAATCACCTTAAAATATCAATTTCTTCTCATCAGTTTACTTTGTAGTAGATACACTTATTGTATTTTTGGTACATTGCTATGTCTAAAACAAGAAAATCTAAAMGAAACACTATAAGGTGGCAAGCCTGTGGGAAAATACATAAAAAATAAATCAAAGATAAGATCAGTTGTAATTATATTTTTCTATCTAACGAAGCTTATATAGACCAGTTTTGTTTGTTTTGGAAGTGCAGTGTTGGGAAGCTCAAGGCAAAACATGATCACATTCTTATTTTACATAAATGCTCATTTTATATTTTTTGCTGATACAATTTAAAATTTTGTTCAAAAGAAGGAAACTAATTTGGGAAAAAATGATGATAGCTTAGAAATTTTGCTTTATGAATGACCTGAGTATTTTCTGTATAACAAAACTATGTGATTTAGCAAATTCCTATTGAATAAAATATT